AGCTTCTCTCCTCCAAGAAGAGTCTCTTTATCCTCTTTAAGCATACTTAGAACAAACTGGCTTTCTTTCAACACTTTTAAGGGAGGGGCCAGATTCTTCCTTTGGGCCTCAGGGCCTTAACATATGCCATAACCTCACCTTGAAACACTTTCCCCCTCCACTGTATTTAGCTAATACCTACTTAACTCTGGATTTTAGTGGAAATATTTCCTCAGCCTGGATTAAAGTGAAAGTTGCTCAGTGGTGTCCGACCCTGCGACCTCACAGACTATACATTCCCTGGAATTCTCCAGACCAGAATACTTGAGTGGGAAGCCATTCCCTTCTCCAGGGGATTTTCCCAACCAAGGAAGATTCTCGCATTGCAGGCAGATTCTTTACCAGCTGAGCCACCAGGGAACTGCGGTTTAGGTCGCCCACTATAAACTCTCACCAGGGCTTCCCTGGTGCCTCAGACGGTAAAGAATCCACCTGCAATGCAAGAGATTCTGGCTCGATCCCTGGGTGGGGAAGATCTTCTGGTGAAGGCAATGGCAACCCACTCCAGTATTCTTGCCTGAAATATTCTTTCACTGAAAGAGGAGCCTGGAGCCCTACAGTCCATGGGGTCGCAAAGAGTCGGACACGACTGAGCGACTCGCACACATAAACTCTCACAGACCTCTGTATTTTATTTTAGGAACATTTGCCAAACTTGTGATTAAATTATTGTCTAGTCGTTTCTTTCCAGTTAATCTCTAGCCCCCGTCCTCGACCATGGATCTCGTTCCCTGCTTTATCCACAGCACGCCTAGTACATAGACTCTCCACAAATGTTTGTTTCAGTGGCAATAAATACAGAAGACGCGTCCACTTGCTATTGTAAACAAAAATTTTAAAGGTGAAAAGAAAGCTGAACATTTTCTGACATCAAACTAGGAAAGCAGAGGTCTCTATCTTCGGTCAAGGTTTTTTTTTTAACCGCTTTATTGACGTATAATTGTTTAGATTATTTAAATAGTATCACGCCACTAAATTCCAAATCTTTAGCTATCTCGGCTAGAGCATCAGAACGTTCGTCCTCACCAGCTTTAGTACAACCAGGTCTGGCCGGTTCCTTGGGCGGGCCGGGGTGGGGGGTGGGGGTGCCGGAAGTAAAAGCCGGACAGTATCAGACCAACTTCCGGACTGAGAGCCCCTGCCTCCCCTACTTCCTGTCCCGCCCTTTGCGAGAGGAGGGCTCAGTTAGGTCAGGACTTCCGGTCTCCCTTTGTAAAACGGCCGGGTTTCCTAGGGTGCGGGAAGGTTTGAATTGCGGCAGTTTGTTTGCCTTCGGTTCGTCTTCGCGGCCTCAGCTGCCGCTGTCTCCGGCTACTCGGACTTGACGAGAGGCCGCCAAACCTCCTCCCTGTAGCCTTAACTCCTCTCGGTTATGACTTTTCTTTCATCGAGAAACATCACTTGCTGGTAACTTGTCAAATTCAAGAAATACTCTTCGAGAAGCGTCGTAGGCAGGAGCACAAGCTGCTACTCCGAGTATTTTGGCAAACTAAAGCACAAGGGTCAGTGATTGGCTTCGTTTCCACGACTTTAAAGCTCAGAACTGCTTGCTGTGTGAGTCGAAGACGTTGGTTGTTTGGATGAGGCTTTTTCTGTAGATAACGCGTTTGATGAAGTTCCCGTTAATGTCGAGAACAAAATTTTTGATCAAAGTAGACATGACGCTGGCAATGTGGGTTGGAGCCAGATTATTATTATTATTATTATTATTATTAATGATGGCAGGAACTTAAGATATTCTCACTGTTTCTTGTGTCTGCTTGATTATGTAAATAATCCAAGCAACAATTATACCAGAATAAGCTGTTGGAAAAAAATCTTGGCTTAAGATAGAGGCCTTTTCCCAGTTGGTATGAGAAAACATATTTTTCGACTGTGTGTCTGCACCTGTTTTTTCTGAAATAGCAAGTAGACCTCATACGTATATAGGATTCATATAGCCGCAATATAAATATGCTTAATGCTATGAGTATTTATTGCCCGTTAACAAGTATGTAAACAAGTGATGTAAAGTGGTTGGTATGGTCTGGGTTGTGGAAAATTACCAATGAGGGGAATACTGGAAATGGACTGGAGAGGGGGGAAACTGGGAAAAGGTCCCAGACAGTTTACAGGAGTGGAGGGATAAGTTGACCAGAAATAGAAAAGGAAGAGCCAGATTTATGGGAGAGACATACTGAATCAACAGGACTTGTCACAAGGGTGTGAAGGGAAACACTGAGAAGTCAAATTGAGATGCCATTGACTCAAATTGCAAATTCAGGAGGAGCAAGAATTTTAACATTCACTTATATATTCTTATATATTACTTATATTTATGACTTAATAGTTATCGCACCCTTATTATTATTGGCCAAGTATTGTTTTAGATGCCAGGGATACAATTGTGAATAAGAAAGATGAAGTCCCTGCTCTCCTTGAGTTTTTGTCCATGACCCTGGGATTGAACTCGGGTCTCCTGCATTGCAGGCAGATGATTATCATCTGAGCCACCAGGGAAGTCCCATGAAAAAAGACAAAAAGCAAGTACATAAATAGAACCCATTTTGATAGTAATAGATGTTATGAAGAAAAACGATGGAATGGATAAAAAGTCATGGTTGGGAACAACTTTTAACTGGTCAGGTTAGGCCTTTGAGGAAGTTAGATATTTGTGCTGAGATAATATTGGTGCCAAAGAGCCAGTCATGTGATGAGTCTGGGAAATGGAATGCTAGGCAAAAAGAACAGTGCAAAGGTTCTGAGATGCGTCACAGCTTCTTAAAAAAAAACATTAAAAAAGCCAATGTAGCTAAAGTGTCCTGAACAAGGAGAGAGTTAGGAGAAGACATTGAAGAAGTAGATAGGTGCAGATTATATGGCTTTTATAGGCTGTGGTTAAGAATCCGGATTTTATTCTAAGTGCAAATGTTGGGTTGTAACAGAAGAGGTTAAATATCATTTTTATGTTACAAGGTCCTGCTAGCTACTGTTTGTAGATTGGCCTTGAGGGAGTTAAGAATGAAAGTGAATTCGAGTCTTCCTTGAGTGGAAGTGATGTTGAGTTTGATTTATCTGTGGAACCAGGACATGGAGAGAGGTCTTGCAGGCAGCTGGATGCTCTGGAGAGAGGTCAGGTAGATTTGGAAGCTCTGTAGAGAAAGAGAATGATTAAAGTTGTGTGAATTTCCACAGGAGAGATCATGTGGTTTAATATTTATATATTGACATACTCTGCCAAAGATTGTAGGCTATATCATATGTAGCTAATTACATACAGTGAAATGGGTAAGATTTTTTTTAAAGTCATAAAAGCCTTTTAAGGGTGGGCATAAAAGCAACATAAGTGTATCTAGTAAGAAGTAAGAAGAGATAAAATCGGGACTAACTAAGGTCAGGTGTTGATGAATCCCTTGATTTAAGAGAATGGTGAAGAAGAGCAATGGTTAAACTATTAAGAAGAACAGATATAGAGAGGGTCGGGGGGAAGGACCATGGCACCCCCCAACCCTTTTACATAAAAGGCAGAAGAAGAGAGTTTGGTGCAAAGGAAGACAGACAACACCGTCACATATTGGCTAGTTTAGTAGGATGAAGACGGAAGTCATCGGGTGTAGGAAGATACTGGTGACCATTGTGAAACAATTTCAGTAGTGAGGTGACAGAGAAAGCTGGATTGCAATGCACTGAAGATTGTCGGGAGAGAAGGTGAACGCTGGGACTTGCCTGGCAGTCCAGTGATTAAGATTCCTGTTCCTGATGCAGGGGGCTTGGGTTGGACCCCTCATCAGTGAACTGAGATCTTGCATGCCTCGAAGCTCGGCCGAAAGGAAAAAGAAAGTTGACACAGTTGAATACTACACCTGAGAGGTTTATTGGTAGGAAACTGAGGTTTCTGGAGGCAAGCTGGAGAAAATGGGATCTATGGAAAGTTACTATTTGGTTTTTTTGGTCAGGTGAAACTTGATCACCTGAGTAACAGAAGGAGATAATGTCCTAGTAGGGGATGCAGTTAGTTTTAGAAAGAATTATAAAATTTATTGAGCTCCTGCAAAGCAACATTCACACTACTGGCACTGTTACATATGTTGTCTCATTTAATCCTCACAGCAATCCTATTACTACCCCCATTTTACAAATACGGAAACAACGCTAGGAACTGGTAGAGTGTGAATGGAACCCAACCCTTTCATTCCCCTTCCATCATACCTATGTGGAAAGCATAGGTGAGAATACAGAGACATTTTAGAGGTAAAGAGGAGGAAGTTGAATTCAGTGAGCAAGATGAATCTAATTCACTAGGTGGTTAGTTAGCTTTCTGAATTGTGACATGGAGCTACTTCCATAATGCCAGACTAGTGACAGGAATCCAGGTGTTATTTTCAAGTGGGCCAAATAGTTACTTTTGGCCTGCCTTTTACATGTACTACAGATGATTTGCTACATTTTTCTTCTTTTTTAAAAATATTTATTTATTTATTTGACTGCCCCAGGTCTTATTTGCAGCATGTGGGATCTAATTTCCTGACCAAGGATCAAACCCGGGACCCCTGCATTGAGAGCGTGGAGTCTTAGCTACTGGAGCACCAGGGAAGTCTCTGATTTGATGTATTCTTTTTGCAAAGATGGAATTTGCTTGTTATTTGAAGTGAGATCCTGCGCATCCAATTTTCAGAAGTTAAACTTCAGAAGTAAAGCTACTAAAATGATAAGGGCAGTTATAAATTTGTGGGCTGTCTTCTCCCTCCCAATTATCTTCCCACACTACTGAGGTAAAGCCCTTGGGATTAATCAAGGCATTCAGGTCAGATCAGGGTAGGATAATCACTTTTCATCCAAAAAAGTAAGCTCAGTGGCAGTCTGTTTTGCTTATGTTCATCCATTTATTTTGATAGAACTTTTGTACGTGAAGAGAACTATTGGTGCTACTGTATTTCCTTCAGCCTTTGCCTTGGAAGGACATTTTATCAACAGTCACAGTAATGGCAGCTGAAGTGCAAATGGTACTTTATGAAGATGATTCAGTGCAAGTGCAATATATTGATGGTTCCAGATTGCAGCTTTCTCCCTGTGGCTCTGAATTTTTATTTGAAAAGGCACCTCCTGTTTCAGCACATCCTTTACAACAGCCAGAAAGAATTCGCCAAAGGACACACTTTGTTATTAGTGCTTACCGAGTAAGTAAATATGGGACAAAAACTACTCTTTTTCATACTAAAATATTGTTGAGGTGTCCAGAATATAGAAAGTGGCTAGTATTCTGGATTATTGTCATTCTAAATTGATGTTCAAATCATTTTTAAAAATTACTTTTTTTTTTTGTAGGAGCAGTTACAACGAGCCCTTGATTTTCGTAACTCTTTTGCTACCTGTCCTTTTTTATCTGAAAGCATCATACCTTCTGAATTGAAAACGGTAATATTTTTTAAACCTCATTTTTAAAACAAATATTTGAGGACAAGTGATTATAAACAGGTAGTTTAATATTTAGGTTTTTTTCTTCATGACACTGAGCATAGACATGTTGCTATACAATGCATAGGCCCGTACATTTCAACAGACTGATATTTTCAACTGATATTTTGTTCCTTGAGACACAGAAGTTACATGGTGTATCTCTCTGCCTTTTTTCCCTTTTCTCTTTTTTGTATCAGAGGATTATACTCAGAACTTTATAGACTGGTGATTTCCTGATTCTCAAAGGTATCAAAATTAAGAAATTATGTGGCCATTTTCAGTAGCTTATGTGTAGTTAATGTGTAGGAGAGATGTGTAATTACTTATGGGTATACATGTTTTATTCTTTTATTCTATTTTCAACTTTTAGGAGTAATAATAGCCATCATTTCTTGAGGGGTTACTATGTGCCAAGTTCTAGGAATGATATAGAAAAATTGAATAGCTTCAATATGGCATGGGTGTCTGCTAATCAGAATGGATGTTCAAACAATCAGAACAGGTATATTGACTACTACCAGCCCCTTTTTTACAGACAAGAGAACTAAATCTCAGAGTTTACCTAATTTGTCCATGAAATTTTTCTAAATGGCAAAGTCAGGATATGAACCCAGTCTATCTGACTCTGAAGACTGGCTCTTAACCACTTTCTGCTGTAGACATGATGCTTGCCTGCCTGCTGAGTAATTTTCTATTATATTGTCTCATGGCACAGGAGTCAAAAATTGTAAGCCAGTAACTTAGTTTACAGGGCCATTTTCCCACTGTATCTTTTGAGTGACAATTCACTGAAACTACATAGCATGCTGCTGATGCTGCATTCAATAGCCTAATTCTAGAAAAAACAATTGTCTTAACTGATCATCCTTATAAAGCAGCTTTGCCATCAATGAATACTGGCCTTTTTAAATTTTTTATATTTCTTTTAATTGAAGTATAGTTGATTTACAATATTGTGTTAGTCTCTGCTGTCTCCGCTGTACAGCAGAATAACTCAGCTTTACACGTATATACATTCTTAAAAATATTCTTTTCCATTATGGTTTATTCCAGCAGATTGGCTATGGTTCCCTGTGCTATGCAGTATCCTTTGTTTATCCATTCTAATGTAATAGTTTGCATCTACCAACCTCAAATTCCCAATCAGTCCATCCCTCCCCCACTCCCTCACCAAGTCTGATCTCTGTGTCTGTGAGTCTGTTTCTGTTTTGTAAGTAGTTCATTGGTGCCACAGTTTAGATTCCACATGTAAGTGCTATCGTATGGTATTTGTCTTTCTGTGTCTGGCTTACTTCACTTAGTATGATAATCTCTAGTTGCGTCCGTGTTGCTGCAAATGATGTGACTACTGCCCTTAATTTTAGCACACTAACATCTGTACACACAGACAGCATTGTAAATTTACAAGGCTTTCTTGACAATAGTTTTTGTAAGTTTAAGGTTTTATATAAATGGAGGATGAAATGTGTGATTTGGCAAGCTTAACTGATTAAAAGACTGTTATATGACACTCACTGTTTTTATCTTATATGAAAAGATGCAGCAGGCTCCGTTACCTATTACAAATGTGTTTCCTGTTGGTTCAGATCAGTTTACCTTTGAGCAATTTGATTTTTTTTTTAAATGTTACCTTTTAAGGCACCTGGAATTTATTTTAGTGTGTGATGTACCTCTGTAGGACAAGTACCTTATACATGTTATCCTATTTAGTCCATGTGATAATCCTTTGAGATAGCATTTCCCAATGCTATTGAATAATTTCAGTACCATTTGTTAAATACTTAATTCTCCCTTTACCCCCTTGTTCTGAAAACCTTATGTTACCATATGTAACATTTTACAATATGGTTGAGTCTGTTTCTGTATTCTCTAAATTGTTCTGTTGATGGTTTTTATGCTAGTTCCATACCATTTACGGTGTGATTGCTTTTCATACAGTTGTGCTGGTCTTCTCTCATTTATATTCTTTTTTCAGAATAGACTTTTTGGGAAGGGCTGCAAACCTATGTATCTCTGATGCATTGTACACTTTAAATCAGAATATGTTTGACATTAAAAATAATCAAGATGATTTTTGTTTTTCTTTTCTGTCCTGTTTGTCAGTGTGTGTGTGTGTGTGTGTGTGTTTTGTCTCTACTTTTCTGAGAGAGATAATAATATCAAATGTTCTCTGGAAAACCATATATAGATTGACATTTTTCATTCTTTCTAAATGGTAAAGGACAAAACTTTTAAGAGCTTCCTTCCATAATATGTTAAGTATCAAATGGATGGAAAACGTGGACTGTTAACAGAAAATACCATTCCTTTTTTTCCCCCTCATCTCAGCGAATCTTGATTGATGTCTCAGAAGTGAGATGGCCCAGTCTTGACACTGATGATGGCATGACATGTATGCAGAATGGCACTGTGAGGATATCATCTTTAGATGGTCACGCATACCTTTGCCTGCCCAAATCTCAGCATGAATTTACAGTACATTTTTTGTGTAAAGTAAGCCAGAAGCCAGACTCATCTATAGTAGTGTCTGAAAAAAATAATAAAGGCAAAAAGGACAAACAAGTTGAAAAAGCTGGCAAAATCTGTACACCTGGAAGTTTATCAGGACAGAGAAAACTGAAGAATAAAGAAAATGAATTTTATCATCAGATCATGAAATCCAAAGGACCTTCAGAGAAGAGTTGTGTGAATGCAGCTGAAGGGAGGGAGGTGCTGTCTTCACCTGGTATGAAAGACACATGTGTATACACATGGGTAAAGCAGTGCTGGTCTGTGGCCTCCTGTCCAGAGGAATGGAAATACCCTTTGTCTTTAGCCCTTCATTTTCATAATAAAATCAGCAGTATGTCTGGAATTGATGCAGATATCACCCAGAAGAGAATGTTAACTTCTGATGTTTCTGAGGAAAGAGGAAAAGAAGTTTCTATTCTTCCCAAGGCCCTGTTGCTGAGCTGTCCTGCCCCACACTTGCACAGGTAATGGAAGAATGACTTATTTGTCCTAACACTTTTGTCAAAACCAGACCTCACCTAAGGATCATTTATCTATCTGAATCATCTGATACCATGCATAAGGAAAGTTCAGTTGATCTTAAACTTTGCTTATAATACATAGGAAATAATGTCCCTAGCTAATGTGTTACTCATATTTCTTCCTTTACATACTACACTAGGTACTTTGTTAAGCACAGAGACTGTAGAGATGACTAAGACAGCGTCTGTGCTCTCTAGGAGCATAGAGTCTAGTAAGGATCCCTGTCACCAAAAATTTTGTTCAAGTGAAGTAAGTGATGGCACAGAATTCTGTGGGAGCCAGCTCTACGACATGTCAGCTGCTGCTCAGTGGCACCTGTTACTTCTGTTGCTAGAGCGTGGACCTGATAAGTTTGTGAGCATGGGTTCCTTGTTCATACACAGCCTCAGAGAACACCCTTGTCTGTGGTTAACTCCGTGTAAATATGTCTGGGCTTCCCAGGCGGCACTAGTGGTAAAAATCCTGCCTACCAGTGAAGGTGACATAAGAGATGTGGGTTCAAACCCTGGGTCAGGGAGATCTGGAGAAGAGCATGGCAGCCCACTCCAGTATTGTTGCCTGGAGAATCCCGTGGACAGAGGAGCCTGGCAGGCTGTGATCCGTAGGGTTACCCCACAGCCAGACACAGTGAAGTGGCTGAGCACGTGTGCAGCTGCACGAATGTGTCCATTTCAAAAGGGATAAACACGGAGAGGCTTCCGGATGGCTAGGTACCAACCTGTTACCATCACTGAGATGAATAACCTAATGGTTACAGATTTATAACATGAACGCTGTGTAAGTAGTGTAGTAATAATGATAATCACTAGCACAAACCACTACTTTGTGTGAAGTGCAGTTATACTTCACCTATTTAATCCTCATAGTCACCCCTTGAGGTAAGTACTATTATCACTCCCCACACTGTAGAGGAAATTGAGACATGGAAATATTAACCCAACCAAAGTCTCACAGCTGGTGCTTGTAGAATTGGGATATGATCTCAGGTCCTTTTCTGAGTACTTATTTGTTACTGAAAAACAAAATACAGGACTTATTTTTAGGCTTGTCATGATTACTAGTTAGAATTGGGAATTCCAATATTGTTAGTATACATGAAAAGAGATTAATGCTTCTAAATGAACAATTTCTCAATAACTTGATTACCCTTAAACACGACTTAACAGGCCTTCCATTATCTGGTCCATTCCTGGATCTGTAATCCTCACCAGTCTTGCCCTTGCTCTCTCTATACTGAACTGGACTTTAATGTGTGTGTGTGTGTGTGTCTTTGCTGGGTCTTAGTTGTGGCATGCTGAATGTTTTTAGTTGCAGCATATGGGATCTAGTTCCCTTATCAGGGATCAAACCCAGGTCCGTGAATTGGCAGCATGATATCTTAGCCACTGAACCACCGAGGAAATCCCTAAACTGAACTTCTCGCCATCCCTCAAATGCTTGCCCAAGCTTTCTTTTACCACTTTTGTTTACCACCTGCACTTTTCTGTGCCTGGAACACTCCCTTTCTCCACTAACTGCTCGTTTCCAGGTCTTAGCATAAGCCTATTTCCTAGATAGGACTAGACTGTATACAATACATGGTGGTGGTTTAGTTGCTAGGTCGTGTCCGACTCTTGTGACCCCATGGACTGTAGCCCGCCAGGCTCTTCTGTCCATGGGATTTCCCAGACAGGACCATTTCCTTTTCCAGAGGATCTTCCGGACCCAGGGATTGAACCCACATCTCCTGTATACAGGCAGATTCTTTACCACTGAGCCACCAGAGAAGCCCAGAGTGTGTGTGCACGCTCAGTTGTGTCTGACTCTTGCAACCATTTGGTGTATAGCTCACCAGGCTCCTTTGTCCGTGGGATTTCCCAGGCAAGAATACTGGAGTGGGTTGCCATTTCCTCCTTCAGAGGATCTTCCCAACCCAGGGATCAAACCCACGTCTCCTGGCTCTCTTGCATTATAGGTATTCTTTACTGCTGAGCCATCAGGGAAGCCCATACAATCCATAGCATCCAGTAGTTCTCCTTTCTTTATGTTCAGTGTCTACTGTTTAATATCTGTGCTAGACAAAATTCTCCACTGAGGTAGCCACAGTGTGTGTAGCACAATATCTGGCCTACCGTACATATTTCAATAAATATTTATTGTTTGAATCCTAAATTTTTAAGGTTTGTAAAACTTAACATGTATTTAATTTTATATTTAAGATTATTTATATTTATATTTATATTTATTTATATTTTATTATATATTATATAAATATACTTCTTTATATTTATATAATATATATAAGTATATATAGTGTATATATATATAATTTATATATATATAAGTATATAATACTTATATTTAAGATTATTAAATCTTAAGATATAAATAAGATATAATTTAAGATATATTAAGATTATTAAAAATACTAAGAAAATATGTGGAAAAATAAGATTACAGTTGACTCTTGGACAACACAGATTTGAACTACTTGAGTCCACTTATATGCAGATTTTTTCAATAAATATAGTACCTGCATTTTTATTTTTTAGATCTTTAAATTACTAGATGTGGGGGAGAGTTTGTGTTCGATTAGAGATCACAGTTTGTGGAATCAGCAGAACTAGGGTTTGAGTCCTGATTTTAGCCAAAGTGTTTCAGCTTCCTGCCTGTGGGTGAGTCATTTATCAGCTCCTTTGTTTTTGAAACAGAGATAACAATACTTGGTTTCCTACTGCAGTGGTGTAGTGCTGATCCCATTCACGCACCAATTGTCTTGCTGTTTACACTGTTTGCTGAACCCAGGATAGGCAAGGCATGAGTTAAGAGGCTTGAAGAAGACTTGAGGAGCTGTAGGAATGAACTGCAGTCACGTTATTCTCTCCTGGCTGGCATAACACAGCGTCTCTCCTGGCTGATGCAGCAGCCGGAGTAGCAGCCATAACATAACCATAGTGTGGCCATAAGGCAGGCATAATATAACCTCATATAACATGACCATGATGCCACTCCAATGTAACCCTGATGCAGCAGCAGCCAGGGCTTTCATGGTGGAGCTCATACAGGCATACGGCACAGAGTAACCCATGACCAAGCAAGTACCTCCTGATGCACAGCATTATAAATGATTTCAGCTATTACATAATCATTATTTACAAATCGGCACAAGAGCAAGAGGCCATGGGGAGAGAGCCTGACCACGCCATCTTGGCTAATTTGCTCTTTCCTACAGCTGGGGTCAGCGCCCCCACCCCCATGTTGTTCAAGGGTCAACTGTAGTTTTAAATTTCATTAATGTACTTTTGTATTTTTACTTTTTTTAAAATCTAATATAAGCAAGAAATAAGTCTTACTACAGCAGCACTGTTTTGTTGACTTCTAAAGGTAATTCTATCAAGCAGCCAGAGTTAATAGTTTGGATTTTTGTCCTTCACAGGTGGAGCTTTTCTGATTCACTTTCACAGAAACAGTTTGGTGAAGAAGAATATTCCTACCATGAACTAGTCAAAGTGGTTTGGTACAAGGGTGTTACCTATAGGTAAGGCTCTTCTGTTACTTGGAACTATTTAGCAATATCACAGAGGGTATAGAACTAGCCTCGAGGATGGACTCCCCCAGGAGGATACAGTTTTGCCAGGACCACCGTTTTCCTATGTTGGCCATATGTTTTACAGGTCTCATAGTGCACCTAGGGGTTTTGTGACTGACTCACATTAACCATAATCACAAGATTTTTGTGACAGCACCAAAGCCAGTGAGGGATTAGTTTTGCTTGAGAGTGAGATGTTTTGCCAGTTATTTAGGATACCCCTTCTAAGAAAAGGGGACCTTGTCATCTTAGACATATCAGAGGGTTGCCTGTTGAGGATGGAATTAGGGAAGAAGTTCACTAGCCCAGGAGAGATTTTGGACATCATTCATGCAGCAAATATTCACTGACTGTCTCCTCTGTATCTAAACTATGCTACAGAATTATCCCTCTTCTACCACAAAGTATACCTCTAGTGATTGGAGTACTTAGTGTTGGCTAGATTCAGAGTTTCACTTCTGTAAATAATGCTAGAAGAAATTTGTGAATTTTTTTTTCTTTTGGGTTCTCCTTTTCCTGCATGAAAACCCACCCCCTTCTCTCTTTTTTAAAAAAGAAAATTTATTAAAATAATTTTATTGAAGTACAGTTGGTTTATAATGTTATGTTAGTTTCAGGTGTACTATAAAGTGATTCAGTATACATATGTATATATTCTTTTTTTCTTTTTCAGATTATTTTCCCTTATAGTTTATTATGAAATATTGGGTGTAGTTCCCTGTGCTATACAATAGGTCCCTGTTAGTTATCTATTTTATTATAGTAGTTTGTATCTATTAGTCCTAAACTGCTAATTTATCCACCCCCTTGATTCTTTCCCCTTTGGTAACAATAAATTTGTTTTCTATGTCTGTGGGTCTATTTCTGTTTCATAAATAAGTCCCTTTGTATCTTTTGTATCTTTTTTTTTTCAGATTTCACATACAAGTGAAAAAACTATGGTATTTGTCTTTCTCTGTCTGACTTACGTCACTTAGTATGATAATCTCTAGGTCCATCCATGTTGCTGCAAATGGCAGTATTTCATTCTTTTTTATGACTGAGTAACATTCCATTGTATATACATAGATAGACAGGTAGATCACAGCTGTATCCATTCATCTGTAGATGGACTTTTAGGTTGCTTCCATGTTTTGGCTATTGTAATAGTGTTGCATTGAACATTGGGGTGTGTTTATCTTTTTTCCTGGGACATGTGCCCAGGAGTGGGATTGTTGTATCATATGGTAACTCTACTTTTAGTTTTTGAAGGAACCACTATACTGTTCTCCATAATGACTGCACCAATTTACATTTCCACCAACATTGTATAAGGGTTCCTTTTCTCCACATGTTTGCCAACATTTGTTATTTATGGTCATTTTTTAAATAATGACCATTCTGACTGCTGTGAGGTAATATCTCATTATAGTTTTGCATTTCTCTAATAATTAGCAATCTTGAGCATTTTTTCATCTACCTCTTGGCCATCTGTATGTCTTCTTTGGAGAAATGTCTACTTAGATCCTCTGTCCATTTTTGATTGGATTATTTTTATCTATATATATATATATATTGAGCTGCATGAACTGTTAGTATATTTTGGAAATTAATCACTTGTCAGTAGCATCATTTTCAAATATTTTCTCCCAGCTCATAGGTTGTCTTTTCATTTTGTTTATGATTTCCCTTTGCTCTGCAAAACCTTTTATGTTTAATTAGGTTTAGAGAAATTTCATTTAGAAAAGTTAAGGAAACAACCCCATTTACCATCACATCAAAAACAATAAACCTAAGAGTAAACCTACCGAAGGAGACAAAAGACCTGTACTCTGAAAACTATAAGACACTGAATGAAAGAATTTGAAGATGACACAAACAGATGGGAAGATATACCATGTTCTTGGATTTAAAAAATCAACATTGTTAAAATGTCTATACCACCCAAGACAATCTACAGATTCAGTGTAATCCCTATCAAATTAACAATGGCATTTTTCACAGAACTTAGAACAAATAATTTTAAAATTTGTATGGAAACACAAAAGACCCCAAATAGCCAAAACAGTCGTAAGAAAAACAGAACTAGAGGAATCGGGCTTCCTGACTTCAGACTATACCACAAAGCTACATTAATCAAAGCAGTATGGTACTGACAAAAACAGACACTAGATCACTAGAACACATAGAAAGCCCAGAAATAAACTTAAGCATCTATGGTGAATTAATCTATGACAAAGAAGGCAAGACTATGCAATGGAAGAGACAGTCTCTTCAAGAAGTGGTGCTAGAAAACGTGTAAAAGAATGAAATTAGAACATTCTCTAATACTGTATACAAGATAACTCAAAATGGATTGAAAGACCTAAATGTAAGACCATATATTATAAAACTCCTAGAGGAAAATATAGGCAGAACACTCTTAATGTAAATCACAGCAGTATCTTTTTGGATCCACCTCCTAGAGTAATGGAAATAAAAATAAACAAATGGGACCTAAACCCACCCACTTCTGATAATATATTCTTCATTCATGTTTCAATAAATTGACTTGGCTTGAGTTTTTATACATTATATACCCAGTACCTTTACTGTACCTGGCTGCTCCAGGTACAGTCAGTCTCCTTCTTATAGGGTGGCTCCATTTACACATAGCTAATCTCATTCATCAGGTGTTGATTCTGCTAGTTTCATTATTACAGAATAATATTATTTTTAGGTTCTAGAGTTGTCATATTTAACTCCTATACAGTAGGCATTGCTTTGGTGACTTTACTGTGCCAGCCACTATGACTGTTAGTGGGATACCAGGATGATAAGACAAGATGCCTGACTTCTATAAATTGCCTTCATGTATGTTTTAATCTCAATAAGAAAAAAAAATTTTAATGATTATTTGTTTTTCCTAGACTTACCCATAAACATATGAACTCAATAGAGATTTATCCTGGAGATGGATCTGTTTTCAGATCAGAAGGAGCTTATTTGGGGAACTATTTTACATATTATTCCATTCAAGAAGAATCAGAAGAGGTATGTTGACAATAAGATCAAGAAGATTTTTTTTTTTTCTTTTTGGCCACAGTGTGTGCATGGGAAACTTCCCCAAACAGGGATTGAAACAAGGGGTCTTAATTACTGGACCACCAGGGAGGTCCAAGTGGATTTTTGATAGATAGCTGTTTCCAAACAATTCTGAATACATATATGGGAACTTTGATCTTTTATAACATTTCTTGCTACTACTTCTTAGTCTAGGTAATTAATATAATTTTACTGCCAGTACTTCTTCTATCATAGACCTCATCAAATGGAAACACTGAAACTAGTGATATTTGAATCAGTATACTTCTTTGAGGGCTCCCCAGATGGTGCTAGTGGTTAAAGAACCCATCTGCCAGCGCAGGAGACATAAGAGACGCAGGTTCGATCCCTGGGTCAGGAAGATCCCCTGGAGAAGGAAATGGCAACCCATTCCATTACTCTTACCTGGAGAATCCCATGGACAGAAGAGCCTGGTGGGCTGCAGTCCATGGGGTTGCAATGAGTTGGACACAACTTAGGATGGACAGACAGATACTTCTTTGAATTAATATTTGCACATTAAGAAGCACAGTCTTTTTTTCCCCCACCACAGGTATTTAAAACACTTCTTAACTCTTAAATCTTTATATACAATTAGGAAGTTGAACAGAATTGTTCGGTCATTGAAAACACTAAAAACACATGATATATTTAATATATCAGACCAAAATATAATCATGTGGAAATTTTGTTAATAATCTAAATTTACTTGTCCTCAGTCTGACACTTGAAATCCACCCTTTTATAAGGGTCACCATAGTATCACACAGCTTTGCTTTGCAGGATGGAATATAATATGTTTTCTGTCTGTATTACAGAGTGGCATATTTGAGTGGTTAGATTGCTAGGAAGGAGACTTAAAACTTAAGCAAAAAAATTTTTTTTAACTAGGGTAAATTTCAAATATATGCAGAAGTAGAAAGACAAGTGTAACTGACCTTCATGACCCATTACCCAGCGTGTTCCATCTGTACTTCCCGATACCCCTTCTACTCCCTGTTTATTTTAAAGTAAATACCTCAAATTACTTCATTCATAAATATTTTACTATATATTAGAGCAGAGTCCCTCCTGAAGTCTATTTATAGGAAAGTATTTATTCAATAAATACTAATTGAATTTTCGAAGGCAGGACACTTCTTAAGTACTGGGTAGAAACAAAGAGCTCTTGTCCTCAAGAGTCCAAAATCTAGTGGTCAGTCAGTAGGCAAACAGGCAGATGAGATAAAATCATGACCAGTAGTATGTGTGTGTGCGTATGTGCACATGTAGTGCATGAGATAATAAACAGGCAAATAGAGTGGTATGCATAAATATCTACACTGCTGACTTCCATCTGTCGGAGTTCAAAAAACTACATGATAAATACAAAATATCTTCCTGGAGCTTCAGTTTTACTCAAAGGTATCATAGGGAGGGGCTGATAACTTTTATAATGAAACAAATGTATCATGGAGTAGCAGCATGTGTTTGTTCCTTACTTGAATGCACACTCCAAAATAAATTACAGATTGATTAAAAGGCTAAGTGTAAGACTGGAAAAAAAAAAAAAAAACCTAATAGAAAATGAGTAAAGGATAAGAATGGTTGTGCTGTGTAACCCATAGAATTTGAAAACATGTTCAACTTTACTACTTGCATCAAAGTAATGCAAATTAAGATGATAATGATATAACATTTTTCACTCATCATATTGTCAAAAGGTTGATAATATCCACTGCCAGCAAAGGTATGTGAAAAGGGGTGCTCTCCTCAATCAATTTACAGCCTTCCTGAGGGCCAAGTTGATAATATTAAGTGAAATTGGCTTGAAATTCTTCTTAGACATCTATCCTAGAAAAATACCAGCACATATATACGGAGAAGCTTGGCCAAGGATGTGGATTGTGGTCTTGTTTGCAGTAGCAGAACGCTGGAAGCAATCTAAATGTTCATCAGTAGGAAAACAGTGAACTAAGCTAAGGTTGGCAGATCGTGGGAATGCCACACAGCAGTTTAAAGGAGTGAGGAAGATGTAGACACGTAGAGAGACAGAAATTGAAAGATCTCCAAGACGGTGTTGAGTGAAAAAAAAAAAAAAAAAAAGTTACATAAGAACATGTGCAGGGGATTCCCTGGTGGTCCAGTGGTTAAGACTGCTTTCACTGCTGTGGACCTGGGTTTAATCCCCGGTGATCAGGGAACTAAAATCCCACAAGCCACGTGGAGTGGCACAAAAAGAAAAAAAAAGCATGTACAATGATATCTTTTCCAAAAAGAACAAAAACCCAACTCCAAACCCATTTATATTACTGTATATATAACACAGGGAAAAATCTGGGCAGATAAAGGAACTGAAGTGGTTACTTTTGGGGAGGAGTCTGGAATTTTGTGAGGGAGAAGTCAGGAAGGACTTAAATTTTGTATTTTTTAACTCTTTCCCCTCCCCCTCCCAAAATATAATAATGTATTATTGCTTATATAATTTAAAAATTAAAGAGGAAAGATTGACAGGAACTTACAATGTAAGTGCTTCCATAGAGAGAAAACCTTGGTGCTTTGCAACCACTTTAGGAGGGGTACCTGACCAGTTTCCAAGGCTCCAGAAAAGCATTCTGGAGGAAGTCTCTGCTAAGCTAAGGTTTTTCATTCTAAAGGAGGAGTTATGCAGAAGACGGCAGAGTTTGAGGAGCATATAGCTAAGGGAACACTGTCTTTGCTTAGTTCTGTCTGGCTGGCTTCCTGTCATTAGAATTTCTATTTAAGTGTCACCTTAAGGAAGCTTTTCCTGACTGTCCAAATTAAAGAAGCTACTGCCAACACTCCCTATCAGGGTACCTTCCTCTTTTTTCTTCTTGGGACATTTAGTATTGTGACATTTTCATATTGATTGATGTTTGTTTACTAACTTACCCACCAAGAGGTAACCCTTGTCTTGTTTAACACTCTATTTTGCTAGTGCATAGCACGGTAGATAAATGCCATTTAAGTGGAGGCTAGAGGCTGGGGGCAGGTGTTGAGTACTGAAAGAAATGAAATGCTGTGGTAGGTTGCAATAGACTAAAACAGGTAGGATGGCAGGGGAAATGTCCAGAGAAGAGCTTAGACCTAAGGTAGGCCAGTTTATAAATGGGGAATTGCTTTTGGAGAACCTCCGAAGGATTTAAGTAGGGAAGTGACATCCTGTTTTTGTTAGATGTTTTCAGAGGAAGATGAACTGAGGTGAGGAAGAGGTGCGCTTCAAGATATAGAACCAGTTAGAAGACATTTGTTGTAGTGCAGACAAGAAAGTGTGAGGGCTGGACAGTGGTCCTGAGAATGGAAAGATAAGAATGGACCCAAGAAATATTAAGGACTAATGGGATATTGGGGATGAGGAGGGAGTTGAAAATAATGCCAAGTTATTGAATTAATCAATGAGTATGGGTACCAGGCACTAGATTAAATAAAAAACTTGTTAAGCCAAAAAAAAAAAACTTGTTAAGCCTAAAGTGTACTGATGATGGCCCTTTTTGGTCTTACCAAGAGATGTCCATAAAAGATTTAAATTCTATTATATCTCGTTCCCATCTTCATGATAGCAGTTGTAAGAAACTCATAATTATGTGTCTTTATTTCCGAGAGGTTAAATTGTGAAAAATAAGCATTTTAGAATTGATGAAATAGAGCAGTGGGAAAGATAAGTACCTTCAAGGGACTCAGTACCCAACAGAGAAAAGCATAAATTGAAGGGCGATATTTTGAGTGCCTGCAGTGTGACTTAGCACACTGTGCTAACAGATGCTGAGGTTGGGCAGATTCCTTGGAGGAGGGCGTGGAAACCCACTCCAGTATTCTTGCCTGGAGAATCCCCATGGACAGAGGAGCCTGGCAGGCTGCAATCCAGGGGGTCACAAAGAGTCAGACATGGCTGAGCGACTAAGCACAGCACATACTGAAGTCAGCAAACAGATAAAGCCTCTGCCTTCATGGAGCTCCATTCTAGCTGGGCAGACCAACATTAAGTATAAAACTATTGAAATTATAATGAAAACCAAGAAGCAGGGGGAAAAATGCAGATTTTAAAGTGAAGGTAATTTCATTTTTGCCATGTTGAAGCTGAAATGTCTTTGTGATATCCAGTAGAGACTTGGATACTCGAGTCTATAGTCCAGGCTAAACGAGGAGAGACTGTTTTTTGCCTACCTACTATAGACTAAATTCTGTCCCAGGTGCTTTGTAAATGCATTATTTCATTAATCCTTGGGACAATCTGGATTGTAGGTGGTATTCCCGTTTCATAGGTTGTGGGCACTGAGGCTTACAAAAGTTTGTCTAACCTGCCCATCACTGTAGTTTAGTGAGTGGCACACCTGTGAAATGAATCCAGCTCTGTCTGACTTCAAAGCCCATCTTCTATCACTGATAGTAAGCTGTGAGCTACATTGACTTGTGGTTCAGTTCAGATCTCTACTGCTACTTCGCCCTCCAGCATTAGGTTCATATCCCTCATGATTTTTTTGAGGAGTAAATGAGATACTCCTTTGCAAACTACATAGCATAGCACCCAGCACATAGTATCTGTTTAATAAATGTTACTTGTTGCTGTTGTGATATTTCTTTATTCAAAGGAATAACAAAAAACTTTTTTTTTCTAATTCAAGAAGTTGAGCCTGTAAATAATAATATTATCTTACACAAACTAGCAGTTGTTCTTCCACTAATAAAATACAACAAAATGGGAACTTCTCTGGTGGTCCAGTAGCTAAGACTCCTGGGCTCCCAGGGCAGTTTGCTCCCTGCTCAGGGAACTAGATCACACATGCTGCAACTAAAGATCCTGCCTGCAGCGACACAGACCTGGTTCAACCGAATAAATAAAAAAAATTTTAATGACAAAATGATATATTAATTCAATTAAAATAGTTCTGTAAGCCTTTTGGGTATATCTTTGGGTATACAGTAGCCTTTTGGGTATATCTAAAGAGAAAAGGGCACTTATATAGTAGGTTTCCTATTAATGCACAGGGAAATTAGTTTGTTAATTTGAGTATAGCCAAGATTTAAATTGAGCAGTAAATTATAGGCTGTTGAGGTGCTTATGTAGTAGGTTTCCTATTAATGCACAGGGAAATTAGTTTGTTAATTTGACTATAGCCAAGATTTAAACTGAGCAGTAAGTTATAGGCTATTAGACTGTAATTTTTATATAGGATGACTTTTGATAGGCAGAATTTTAGACTTTAAAAAAATTGGGAAAGTAGAAAAACATCACAAAATACCTTTAAAATTTACCTTTTATGGGCTTTTGATTAAGTTAAAATAACTGCATTCCTTGTCACTATGTAGATAAATATTTCAAGAAAAAAACAGCTAACTTATAATGGCCAAATTTTATTATTGAGGTTTTTGTGGGGGTTTTTTTGGTTTTTTTTTTTATTTTTATTAATTGTAAACTAATTTTCAGAGAGAAGAGAAAACTTACTCAGTAAATAACCTTCCTCCGGATAGGCCAGGAAACCCATTTTCTGTGTGTTCTCTAATTAAACAGGCAACCAGGTAAGTGCTTCCCGTTCAACAGAATTCAGTGTTGTGTGTCTGAGAAACATGGTGCATTTTCTAGGGTTTAGGATAAGGTTAAGAATTGGTAGGTATAGTAGAAATGTCTTTAGTAAAGCCTGTCAGCTTTTCTGGTCTCATCATTTATAAAATAAAGTGTTCACCATGTCAGTATAAGAGTACTTCTGGCTTTGAAGTTAAATATGGAGAAACATCCATATGTTTCTGGTAGGAAACATGTGCCTTTTCTCTGGGCACGTGTGGCATCATTATTGTTCCTTGGTATCAAGCTGAAGGTGTGATGATACTTTTAAATTATCATACTTCTTTATTGTCCTAGAAGTGATCTTGATTTCTGAGAGTGCACAGAAGACAACTGTAGTTTGGTTCTCTGGCTCATGTGTTTTTTAATTAATTACTCAATCTGTGGTGCCTAGAGGGATGAAAGTGGATTGTTCAACTAAATTGTTTTTATAGACTTAAGTCTAAGCAACTTCCAAAGTAGATTTGAAGGAGCAGAATTGGTCATTTGATTTTCCAGGGACAGTTGATTCACATCCCCACCACCCTTCAGTTCAGTTCAGTCGCTCAGTTGTGTCCGACTCTGCAACCCCATGAATCGCAGCGCGCCAGGCCTCCCTGTCCATCACCGACTCTGTGTGCTGTGCGTCTGTCACTTGTTAAAAAGAGCAAATTCTGAAAATTCTCTCCATTTGGATTCTTTTCATTGCCAAAAATTAGAGGAATAACCTTAACTGTGTAAGATTGGCACAAAGAGAAGCAACAGTGGTAGTTCCCTTTTAGGGGCTTAAGAAAGAAAAGAGGTCCAAACATATTTTTGTGGAAATGAGTTACTTGCCTCAAGTTGTATAGCAGTGAGCATGAGTTGCTAGAATTGGAAAACGGCAATATTTGCAAATGTCTAAGTATTTTTCTTGTTCACAGAATTCTTCAGCATTGTGCCAAGATGAGGCTCTCTCTAAGCCATAACTATCGTATATGCTGCTGGAAAATGGTATCTTATTTTAAAAGCAAGATATTTTTAATCATTTTGTTATTTGTATACATACTTATAAGTTCAAATTACTTTCATCCAAGTCATGTGAGAAATTCTTTGTCACATTAATACTGGTTTATTAAAAAATCCACTTAATAAACACTACAAAATTGGTCTGTTGTATTATGCTTTTACTGTATGTAGTTTGTTTTTGTTTCTTCTTTCTTAGTAGAGGGGGAAGGGCAGGGGACTTGATTGGATTTGAAGTATGTAAAAACATAGTTCTTTTAAAACATATTACACTACTCTATGTTCGTAACTATAAAAGTAAGTTTTTTTTTTTAATGTTGACTTGGAGGAAGTGATTCTCAGACCTTGATTTCTGTATTTATACTACTTTGATTATAAATCTCTATGTTGCTGTAGTTCCTATTCTTTGTCTATTTTCTATGTAAAGTTTAGCAGAATGGTGACTTTCCAAAGATACTAGAACTTAATCTGCTTATAATGGACTCTTGGATAGCCACTTCTGGAAAAGTCAGAACATGCCTAAGGATTCTGCAATATTAAACTTCTAAATGAGAATCTGAAGTTGCCTCAGAGTTAGTTCATTCATCATTTCAGTCTTGTTAGTGTATAACTCTATTTCCTGCTGTTTTTATTTTCTGGTTTTAGGTACCTGGGATAAATGACAGTAGTGTACTGCCTTTGCTTTTGAGAGAATCCTTCATGCCTGGCGTGGGAAGATTTCTTGCGTACTCAGATGACAAGGTACATGCTATCTTTTTAGATGGCATTACTTTAACCCTGAATTGGAATTTTGGCTCTTTTATTGAAAAGAGACAGGTAATTATACTTTAGGCTGAAATCTCTCTTTTATCATTTTTCAGTTCTGGAATAATAAAACTTACCTTTCCTCCTTGTTTCTTCAGGTAAATCAAGGTCTCACCTTAGGCTGGTGTAAGTTAACTTTTCCTGATGGACAAAATCAGTTAATTCAAATTCAGCATCCCAGACCATATGAAAGGTACTGAAAAGTAATTTTTAAAAATAACTTCATGTTAGTATATAACTTCCTTTTAGATGGAGGACGCATTTATATTATTTAACTTAGTTTTGGACCAAGAGGAAGCATATAAACATTTAAATGTTATATATATACTTTTAGTTTTTCCATGTGGCTTGAAGTCATTTCACCAGGTTTCAGAATTTACAATTATATTGTCCTCTAGCATAACTAAGTAGATCAGGTCAGCTTTAGTCATTTCCATTTGTATTCTAGTGATTTTTCAAAATAAATATGTTATAACTGGCTTGCTGTGGAGGTTGGACTGTGGTCAGCTGTGTTAATGAATTAAGTAATTAATCCCCTAGTGTGTGCATGCTCAGTCATGTCCGACTCTTTGCAACCCCATGGACTGTAACCTTCCAGACTCCTTTGTCCATGGAATTTTCCAGACGAGTACTGAAGTGGGTTGCTATATCCTACTCCTGAGGATCTTCCCAACCCAGGGATCTAACCCATGTCTTCTGCATCTCCTATTCTTAACCGCTACACCACCTGGGAAGCCTATTAATCCCCTAACTGATTTGAAATAAAGTTTACAGCCACAAATAGCTGAACTTACATATATTTCTATAAAGAGAAATAAACTAGCTGATGATTATTCTTAAAATGGAGAAGATTAGGGTTTCCATGGTGGTCCAGTGGCTATGGCTCTGTGCTTCCAATGCAGGGGACCTGGGTTTGATACCTGCTCAGGGAACTAGAACCCACATGCTGCAAACTAAGAGCAGATAAATAAATAAATTAATTTTTTTTTAATGGAGAAGATTATTGAAATCAGCTTTTTCATGAGTGTGCTTTTTCTTTTTTGGCTTATGGAATTTGTTATAATAATTATTCTTCTTGTGATGTTCTTATTAGCAATTTTACTTGAGGATCCTCACAAAACAACTGCTATTTTACCTCTTTATTTATTTTCCTGTTGGGATTTATTGCATTTTAATTTAAATGCCCCAACATTTATTGGTATTTTGAATAACTTGCCTCAAAAGATAAGGAAATTTGTATTTAGCAAGCATATTATTTATTTCAGCCAGTCATTCCAGATCATTCATTTTATTGAACTTGATACTTACTTTGTATATCCAGTGAGTTATATATAATTATGAATGTGCGTGTGTGTTACTAGGTGTGTTCTGGTTTAAATTTTAGAAAGCAAATGCTCACTTTGTCATATATGTAGAGATATTTTCGTGATAAAATTTAATGAAACTCATTTTACTTTAGAAACTAAAAGGAGAATTTAGGCATTTGAACTTTGAATGAAATCTAAGCATTACCTTTGATAAAATTTAATGAAACTCATTTTACTTTAGAAACTAAAAGGAGAATTTAGGCATTTGAACTTTGAATGAAATCTAAGCATTACCTTAAATCTCGTTTTTATTAATCATGAATGTAAATCATTTCTGATGAATGAGAAAAACTGGCCTTTTTCTTTTACCAATGAAAAAAATTCTTCAAATAGCCCTACTTTAGAATTTTTTCCCCAAATTAATAAATTTTACAATTTTTTGAAGATTTTTATAAATATTCTACATTTTCATTTTTTAAACCTCTCTCTTAATGTGTTCAACCTAGATATGTGACAACAGTAATATCATGGTGCAGAAGGCTGACCCAGATTAGTCAGCAAGAAATACCCATACATCCTTCATCTTCTGTTCCTGAAGAAAGCTGGTATTTATATTTATTTTAAACTTAATCAATGTAGAAGAGCCAACTAATCCTCAGTTATTAAAATGTTAAATGGTAAACTGACTCTTCTTCCCAAGAAAACTTTCTCTTAGTTAAATATATTTAACCAGTTTGATTTTTTTTTTGATAGCTTAAATCTTGACAATAATTTATCTTTAATTGGATACCTCATTTATTACATTTCATCATAGTATGTTTCATCTAAAGATCAGAAAACTGCATTGAAAACTTCATATCAAAATGGGTGACTCTTTGAGTGTAAAAAGTTCATCCTGGATACTTTATAGAAAAATTTAGAGTTTTTTTTTTTATATATTTTAGTAATATTAAAGGAAATAAAATGTTGACTAACAAGCTTTCAGAAAAACTTGATTTTTAAATAATTTCTATTAATTGTCTCCCTCAAATTAATTGACAATCAACAAATAAAGCAAGATTTCAGTCCCTCCTGTGTGCAGAGGACTGGAACTGGGCTTTGAAGGAGTTAAGACATTTAGAGAGGAAGCAAGTGTAGAAATGAAAAAGGATATTTTGGCTTGTGGAAACAGTAAGAAGTTTTTGTGGAGCAGACACTTGTCTTTTGGGTGTAGTGTGACCGTGATGGATAGGAATAGATCTTATAAGGGGAATTCAGACTTCACAGAATTGTAAGTTCCCATATGCGAAAAAAATGACAAGAAGAAAGATCCTTAGGAAAGTTAGTGTCACTGTGGGTATATTACAAAAGAAGGATACCAGGAAAAATTTAGGAAGCTTTAAATTTAAGTAAGTTGTGGACTTGCCTGGCCATCTAGTAGTGGAAGACTCCATGCTTCCCACTGCAGGGTGTGTGGGTTCAATCCCTGGTTGAGGAGGATCCCATATGCCACGTGGTGTGGCCAAAAAATAAACTAAGTTTAAGGTGTTTAGCATAGTGTGGTGAAAAATATAAACATTAAGGTGATAACATTTTCGAGTTACTTAGAGAAAGAGGTACAATCAAATCAGTGGATGTTATTTGGATATCCAGGTATCTTAAGGATTCAGCTTTGGTCCATCTCTTCAGCTATGTAGGAACAGAAAAGTTGCCTCACATATACACAACGGAATATTACTCAGCTATTAAAAAGAATACATTTGAATCAGTTCTAATGAGGTGGATGAAACTGGAGCCCATTATACAGAGTGAACTAAGCCAGAAAGAAAAACACCAATACAGTATACTAATGCATATATATGGAATTTAGAAAGATGGTAATGATAACCGTATATGCAAGACAGGAAAAGTGACACAGATGTATAGAACAGATTTTGGATTCTGTGGGAGAAGGCAAGGGTGGGATGATCTGAATAGCATTGAAACATGTATATTATCAGTTGTGAAAGAGATAGCCAGTCCAGGTTTGATGCATGAGACAAGCACCAGGGCTGGTGTACTGGGATGACCCAGAGAGATGGGATGGGGAGGGAGGTTCAGGATGGGAGACACATGTAAATCCATGGCTGATTCATGTCAATGTATGGCAAAAACCACTACAATACTGTAAAGTAATTAGCCTCCAACTAATATAAATAAATGAAAAAAAAATAAAAGCTTAGGCTTCACACACACACACACAAAGTTGCCTCAGTAGCTAGCAAAAAATATGGTTGGGAAGAAAGGGAAATTGTGCATGGCTATAAAATTGGTTACTTCATTATTGCTTAGCTGTCAAAATTTGTAAAACGTTAGCCTTTTTGTATGAAAGCTTAGAAGAGGGTAGCTGTCAAGACAAACTGAGAATTGAGCAGTTGAGAGAAGTACAGATTGGTGAAAGCAGCTATGGGTGGAAGCAATGCGGAGCCAGAGGGGAGACAAGAAATTGAGGAGTGGGGAAGGGAAATATAGTGTGTGCAACAGCTCCATTCCCCTCGCAAAGCCTAAGATGTCTGCACTGTGATTCTTGTTTTCTTATAAAAGAGAAAGGGTTGAAGGAAGAGAAGAGGTCACATAATAAACAACTACCTAAATTGTATTTCAGTATTTTTTTTCCAATTCAACTTCTATTATTAGCTTACTGGTTCAACTTTTTAATAAGGATGCTTGTCAAAAAATAGGAGAATATTTCATAAGAAATTGGCTTATTATGACAAAAACCACTGCAATGTTGTAATTAGCCTCCAACTAATAAAAATTAAAAAAAAAAAGAAGAAATTGGCTTATTGTATGAGCAACAGCATTAAAGGTAGTTTGTGTGTTGCTTACATCCAGAAAATGTTTCTCATGTGTGAAAGGGTGGAGGGGGGTGTGTGTTTTGCAATGATGAAGAGTCAGCAGGTTTTAGAGTAAGTCACATCCAGATCTTTACTACACATGCTTAAAATGATAGAGCCCTGTTATTCTCCATCCATAGGCTGGAGTACAAGGAAAGAGTGCAGGCTGACAAGATGTATGTGGTCCATTGTATATAATAAAGTCAGTAAAGCAGACAAGTCTTATACCCTTTTGTGAACTGTGAAAAGACTTTTCTAGTGACTTGAATAGAGAGATATTTTAGACATGAATGTCCTCATTAATTTTGCAGAGAGCTAGTCCAGTTACGCTGTTTTCTAGCTGTGTGCCAGTGCTCATGTTTCACCTAGTGATGAGGGAAAAGGCAACATACACATAAAAGGTTATCCTGGATTTGTATACATTCAGCCCTCTACTCAATACTGGTTGCCACAGTGTCTGTTTCTATGGAACATGGTAAGAGTCAGTATTCACATGTTAACCCTTCAAGTCAGAGAGAAGAGAATGTTTAGTATACTTCGCTTAAGAAAACAATGAAATGATTAGTCAATTCCAGAAGAAATTTAATAGAAAATAGTTATGTTTGGACACCTAATTCAGTTGTATAAAAAGTTAGCTCTAGAGACCATCCATTCCCTAAAAGTTCCATATAAATGAAGTCTTACTGTATGTGTAAGATTCCTTCTCCTCCAAAGAAACTATCTAGGTATGAAGATTAAAAAGGTAAATAGTTCAAGAAAAGGCATTACAAAGAAGTTTATTATTAATTAACATAACAGTATAGGAATTCAAAGGGGAGAGCATTTCTGTCATAGGAGTGATGAGATTTTAGTAGGTGTTTAAAGTTTGAGTAAACCTTGTGGAGGAAAGTAGAAGGTATGCTAGATCAGTACTGAGTTATACCAGGAAGGCTCATTACCTTCCAACCTCTATACTGAATTTAGAAGTCCTTGAGATGGAGGATTTCTATTCACTTGCCTTACTCATGCTTGGGTGCATCCTCAGTCACTCAGTTGTGTCTGACTCATTGCAACCCCATGGACTATAGCCTGCCAGACTCCTCTGTCCATGGAATTTTCCTGGCAAGAATACTGGAGTGGGCTGCCATTTCCTCCTCCAGGGGATCTTCATGACCCAGGGATCGAATCTGCAGCTTCTGCATTGACAACCAGGTTCTTTACCACTGCACTATCTGGGAAGCCCGCCTAACTCATGAAAGACTATCAGTTGAGTCAAGGTGCTCTGTGGCTAAATAAAGTCAATATAAAGAGAATTCTTATTTTCTAGGTTCTTCTCTGTTAAAAATTCTAATCATTATGAAAAAATTAACTATGCTTATTTGAAATATTGTGGATATAAGAGAATCAGACAACTGGCATTAACCTTTTTTTTATTTTTGGCACAGGTCTGTGGCTTCTGAACTTGAAAAGATACAGAAGTTTAATTGTATCCTTTAAGCATAATGTAATGTCCTGCATAATTTCTGTTTCCCTTGTAGGCTTAAGCTAGCCTGTGGAGACTTTCACACTTATATAATTATGTTCTAACATTATAACTGAGAACTGTCTCTGACTTCTTCCTTTTGCAAAATCTGTATGATTTTTATTTACTATTTTTTTTTTTTTAATTTCAGCTTCATTGAGGTATAATTGAAGAAACTGTAAGGTATTTAAATAGTACATCACAGTGACCTGACACGCATAGCATTGTGAAAGGATCACCGTATCTTGTTAATTAATCCAAGCATCATTTCACGTATCTTCCATCTCTCTTTTGCTTGGGGACAAGAGGGATGAGAACATCTTCAGTGCTTCAGTCATAGAGCACAATATTATCAACTACAGTCATCATGTTATACATTAGACCCTCTGACTTTATTCATCTTATAGCTGAAAGTTTATATGCTTTTACTAACTTCTCCCTCTTTCCCCACCACCCAGCCCCTGGCAGCTACTACTCTGCATTGTTTCTAGGAGTTTGACTTTTTAAAAAATTCTACATATGAGTGACACCATATAGTATTGATATTTGTCTTTCTCTACTTATTTCACTTAGCAAAATGCCTTCAAAGTCCATCCATGTTGTTGCAGATGGCAGGATTTCCTTCTTTCTCATGGCTGAACGGTACTCTATTGTGTGTATATATGTGGGAGTCATCTTTATCCATTCATCCAACAATGGACAACAATAGGTTGTTTCCATATTTTAACTACTATGAATAATGCTAAAGTGAACATAGGAGTGCAGATCTCTCTTCTGTAGACTGTTTTCATTTCTTTTGGATATATATACCCAGAAGTGGGATTGCTAGATCATATGGTATTTCTGTCTATAATTTTTTGAGGAAACTTCCATACTGTTTTCCACAGTGGATGTACCAATTTATATTTCTACCAAAGTACACAGTGGTTCTCTTTTCTCCACATCCTCACCAACACTCATTATGTCTTTTATATATATATAAAAACTTTATTTTTATTTTTTAAAAATGTCTGTGTATTTGGCTGCATCTGGTCTTAGTTGCAACATATGGAATCTTCACTGCATCATGAGGATCTTTTGTTGTGGTATACTTTTCACTGTTGACTATATTAGCTGTGGGATAATCATATATGATCTTTATTATGTTGAAGTATGTTGCCTCTATATCCAGTTTGTTGAGTGTTTTTCTGCATCATTTGAGATTATATGACTTCTGTCCTTCATTTTTCATGTGTTGTATCATATTTTCATATGTTGAACCATCCCTATATCCCTGTAATAAATCCTGCTTGATCATGTGTATGACCATTTTAATATAATGTATTCAATTTGCTAATGTTTTTGCTAATATTTTGTTGAGGACTTTTGCATCTGTGTTCATCAGGGATATTGGCCTGTAATTTTCTTTTCTTGTAGTGTCTTTATCTGGTTCTGGTTATCAGGGTAATCCTGGCCTCGTAAAATCAGTTTTGAAGTATTCTCTTCTATTTTTTGGAAATGATTGGTATTAATTCATGTTTAAATATTTAGTAGAATTCACCAGTGAAACCATCTGTGTTGGGAGGTGTTTGATTACTGATTCAATTTCCTTACTAGCTGTTGGTCTGGATTCATTCTTGGTGGGTTGTATGTTTCTAGGAATCCATCCATTTCTTTTAAGTTGTCCAATATGTTGGTCTGTAATTGTTCATAGTATATTGTGATCCTTTTTATTATATGATATTGGTTGTAATTTCTCCTCTTTCACTAATTTATTTCTCTTTTTTTCTTGATAAGTCTAGCTAAAGTTTTGTTCATTTTGTTTATCTTTGCCCCCCGCCCAAAAAAAAAGCCAGCTTTTTTTCATTGATTTTTTCTATTGTGTATAAGCTTCTTCCAGGGAGACAGAAACAACCTAGAGTAGGCCAGAGAAGGAAGGAATATGGAGATATCACCTGCCAGCCTTCCTCTGGGGGGATCATACTCTGCCCCTAGGTGTGTGCGAAATTAAACTTTTAAAAAATTTGTCTGCGCTGGGCCTTAGTTGCAGCGTGCAGGATCTTTGATCTTTTTTGCAGCATGTAGGATATTTAGTTGCAGCTTGTGGGATCTAGTTCCCTGACAAAGATGGAACCTGGGCCCTCTGCATTGGCAGAGTGACGTCTTAGCCACTGGACCACCAGGGAAGTCCTAGAAGCTTTGAAAGCAGCAGATAGGCCGCTTTTCGGGAAAGATTGGGAGATGAATGTTTGTCTGCTCAGAGCTAGGAGTTTTACGTGCCTGTCCCACACTTGGAAGTCTTAAAAAATTGAAGCATTAGATCTTGGGTCCAAACCCTTTACTCCTCAGGGTGAAGCTGGGCTAATTGTGAATTCCCCGCTATTGTGCTGAGGGTGGGGTTTATAGTGAAAGCCTGTCTTATTCTTACCCATCTCTTGATGTTTTCTTATTCATTCAGTGGATAGCAGTCACTTGGGTTGTTCCTGCATCTCTGACAGTGAGAACTGCTCTGTATGTAGCATAGATTCAGTGTGTCTGTGGGAGAGGTGAGTTCAGGAACTTCCTCTGTTACCAGCTTAGACTGGACTCCTACTTTTTCTTGTTGAACCTTTTGTTCTGTGCATTCCTACCCCACTCATCTAAATTCCTTTTATCCTCTTATTTTTCCGTAATCCTATTCAAATAATAAAGTAGCTCTGAAACAGCGGACACATTTATTTTCACTCTAGATGTTTTAAGTTATTTAAAAATACCCCACACAGATTGTTCATATTCCTCTCACCCCTACTTTGTTCCCTTGAATTCCCGAATCACTTCATCACTTAAAGAAACGTTTAGTCACTAAGTCATGTTCAACTTTTTGCGACCCCGTGGACAGTAGTCCCCTAGGCTCCTCGGTCCATGGGGTTTCCCAGGCCAGAATACTGGAGTGGTTGCCATTTCCTTCAGGGGATCTGCCCTACTCAGGGATCAAACCTCGGTCTCCTGCATTGCAGGCAGATTCTTAGCTACCTGGAAGCCTTTAAAGAAATGTTACTGAGATTTTAATTCTTGTTTCCTCCCTGTCACCAAACTTTCATCCAAATACAGACATACATACTGTCTTTTCCTTTCCCCTTCTTATATTCTAACTAGTTTCTTCATCTATATAAGGGATAGACTTGATAAATTCTGAAGTCCCAACTTTATTATGAATCCAAGAGATCTTCCTCCCAATAGAAAAATCATATTTTAATATGAAGGCTAGGTTTTCTGTATAGGAGGAAAGCTCCTTAACTAAGCAACTTAGTGTTATTGGAGAATAGTGGTGTCCTAAACCAGATTTCTCACAAGAAAAATGAACAGTCTTTGGATCGTTGTCAACCAAAATCTTCAGAAACCTTGCTAAAAGAAGTTAATGAAAAGAGTGTATCAGTGGCATTGAAAAAAACCTCTGAAATCCTTCAGGATATTGACAATCTTCTATCAAACTCTAAATGGTGAAAAATGGAATTAGTACAATATATTATTAAGCCCTGTGGATATTATTTCAAGTGATTGGTAGAATATTACTAGAAAACCAAGAAATTATATATATATACATGACTTGTGTACAATGAGTATGTGAGAAATGATATCTAACTTTGGAGGTGTTTTATCTAACTTGCAAATTTTAAAATATATATTTGTATATTATTAATAAAGAATAAAAAATCTAAACAATTTCTTAGATTTGAGAAAATTTTATAAAACTGTAGAGTTGTTGCTGTTTTGTCTTTTGGAGCATTCACTTTTAATCAAGATTTTTTTTAAATTTTAATATGCAGAATTGTGTGCATTGGTCATTTGCTATTTAGTCTCTCTATGCCAAGTATTTTTCAGCAGATCTATGAAAAGAGAATCAGCTCTTTCAAAAAAAAAACCTTAATGTGGGCAATATTACTGCAAGCTAAGAATGGAGCACTTCAGCTAAGACTAAATTTTATCTGAATTTGTCTCATGTTACCAAATATTTTCATTTGTTTTGAACATCTCAAAAGATTTATGTTACAAAATACACGAGACCAAAAGAGAAATAAGCTCACCGTAAGTACTATTTATTGCACCTGTCTATTGGGAAAGAAGAAAACCATACTTCCAAAAAGACTTCAGGATTATACCAAATATAACAAGAAATGTTAAAATTAACATCTGATTTCTTGAGAAGACCAGCCTCTTCACATAAAAGAAGTAACATAGGAAACAACAAGAAAAACAGCGAAAAAAAGAGTGTAATAGGTTAGGAGATAAAATGTAAGCAATTTGAGCACAATGCTTTCTTCAGTTTCTCTCACACTGCCACCTTCAAGTATCAGCACAAAGATCCCTCAGAGGGGCTTCCCCCCAGTTACTGTTACATCACCATATTTATTCTTTGTGGTCTATATCTTCCACTAGAATTTGAGCCCCATAAAGTTATTTTACAGTCTTATTAACAAGCATAGTGTCTGGCATGTTGCGAACATTCAGTGTGTGTAAATGAACAGCCCCTTTGGGCAGTAGATTGACTACAGAAATAACTAAGTTCTGTTTTGGTGGCAGGAAACCATCTATGTCGTCCCTAAATAACTCCAGAAAGCCTCGACTATAGTAAGACATGTACCCATGCTGCCATAAGGGTAATGCCAAACTGTTATTGCATTCAGACAGAAAAAAATCGCCCTTAACATGACTAAGAGCACTGTGGTTAATGTATTCAGCAGTAAATATGTTTAATAAGCTTTTAAGCTGTGCAGGTAAAATATGTATAATTTCCTCCCTCAGTTGAGTCATTCCCATTAGCTCAGAACCAAGAGTGTGTCAAGCAATGAAAACTTCCATAGCAAAAACTAAGCCACACCTTAAGGTTCTGTGAGAGACCTAGAAGTTTACTTGAGATGGAAGATTCCAATTTTCTACCATCTCCTTCAACTATCTATTAGTATTGATACAATCCCAATGCTGCCCCTGCATTACATCCAACACTTAGTTTTGAGAAAGTAGGTAAGAAAGAGAAAAAAATTTTCCTCTTTGAGTCCCCTCTTTTGGGCCAGTACTTCCTAGGGTCAAATGTCAAGCTAGATGTCTCCTTGGTGCTTGGAGAGCACCCACCACTCCCAAGCCATGATGGGAACTAGCCAGAACTACTAAACACCTGCACTTTGTCAGCCCAGTTAATCAAGGTCAAGCTACCTTTTATGTTGTCTTTTTCGACTCGTGAGAATTAGTAGTCACGATTAAGCCTTCTGGTCTTGTCACTGCCGACCACAAGCAGCGACCCCAAAGTCCACTGCACAAACGCAGAATAATTATCAAGAACTCCCCAAGAGGGCGGTGGAGCGCTACAAAAGAGCTTCAGGCCTGCAAAGTCACGCAGTCTAGCGGAGTGAAAAACTCCTACGCCCGTAAAGGATCCTTTGCAGGAAGTCGGAAACATCTCAATACACCCGGGACAGCCGGTGTCTCCGAGCTCAAGCGTCTAGGGCCACGCTTCCCACATTTGATGAGGTTAACTACGTGTCCCCGCTTCCCGCCGCAGCTTGGGTGCGCTGTGGACAGCTGTGGCTAAGCCGAAAAACAAATCCTCAGGTTCAAGATGGAAACCAACAAGTCACTTTTCACTTCCCACCCCACTCCCAAATGTCTCCTTTTGAGGAGCACGACTTTCGGGGTAACACGAGATACCCACCGTCTCAGCTAACGAACACTAAAGCAGCGTTCCGGTCGGCGGGGGAATGGAACCACTATCCCGGCGTCCTCTCGGTTCCTGTAACGGCGTAGCGGGGAGCGGTGAGGTGACGTAGCCGCTCTGGCCTGCGGCCGGCATCTCTATAGTACCGACAGGAGGGTGGAGAGGGTATAGGGGGCGGGGCCGCCGTTCGCGTCGCCGGCTTGCTTCCGCGGGCGGAGCAGATGGTGGTTGCCTTTGGTCCTCAGCGAGAAACGGACTGTATGGACGCCGCGAAACTACGTCCTGAGGTGCGAGGCCGGAAGCGGGGACCACTTGAACCTGAAAGGCTAGAAGATCCAGGTTCCCGGTGGGAAAGGCGTGTCGGGGCGTCAGGCGCACGGGACCCGGGAGCAGGTGAAGTGTGGTCGACCGGCAGTGGCCCGGAGCCCTTCGGCTTTGTCGCGCCTTCTAGATCCCATAGGCGTCCAGCCCTCACCTAAGCTCCGCGCCCCTTGCGTTTCCTTGGGTCTGGGCGGGGTGCCGGCGCTTTTGCCTGAGTTGCCCATTGCCATCCTTACCCGGCTCGAGGGCCCTTAATGCGCCCCCGGCTCGAGTGCTTAGTCGCTCAGTCGTGTCCGGCTCTGTGCCACCCCATGGACTGTAGCCTGCCAGGCCCCTCTGTCCACGGGATTCTCCAGGCAGGAATACAGGAGTGGGTTGCCGTGTCCTTCAGAGGATCTTCCTGACGCAGAGACTGAACCTGTGTCTCGTGGTTTAGCAGGCGAGTTCTTTACCATTAACGCCACCTGGGAAGCCCTGAAGGCCCCATCGTTGATGGCATTATACTGTAACGGAGATGGTGTGTGGTGGAGTTTGGCTGTTGCAGAAAGTGTCTCCTGCAAGTCGTGGAAATTTATGATCTGGGTAACTGGCTGTTATGGCAGATACCATTACAAATAGTATCTTTAGTTCACAGGCTGAGGATTGCTAACTTGTTTTCTCCTTGTACTAGTATAATGCGATATTAAACACCTTGAGCACATTAGCTTCATGCGTGACAAGTTTAAAAGAAAATTACAATTCTCGTAATGAACTTGCCCAACAAAAGTGAATATGTAAAAAAAACATAAAGCTGTTTTACGGTTTAAGAGGTTCTAGAGCCCATTCTGTTTATGGGGGAGGAGCAGGAAGTGGGGAAACAGGAAGAAGGGAAATGAAGAAAAATGGGACACTTGGGTGTTCTCAGTTCAGTAGTTTAATCGTGTCAGACTCTGCGACCCCGTGGACTGGGTGTTCTAATCAGAGGTAATAAGAGGAAGTACACCTATTAAATTTCTTACACCCAGAATCTATTCTATATATCTGCACCAATAGTTGCAGTGGAATAGATGTTCCAGTTGTGTGTTTCTGGGGCCATAAGTATACCTTTCTTGAAAAGAGAAACTACTGTTTTAGCTATCCATGCTGCAAAACAGACTACCACAAAGCTTTTAGGCTTAAAAGAGTAAACAGTTACTACCTCACTGTATCTTTGGGCCAGGACTTTTGGAAGAGGCTTAGCTGGGTTCTGCTCAGGGTCTCAAAGTTGTAGTTCTAGATGTTGGCAGGGCTGCAGGCATCTGAAGGCTTGACTGGGGCTGAAGGATCTGCTTCGGAGTTTACTCAAGTGTGCTTTTTATTTCTCTCTCGTCAAGCAAGCTGTTTACACCTTCCATTTAAAATGCAATTTGTGTCACCCTATTATGTGTATCTGTTCCTATTCATTAACTACTGTATAGTTATTTTGTAAACAATTTTTTCTTTTTCAGATCACTTTAAATTTGGATCATCATTTAAATACTTTAAGTGATCTTTTCTTGTTTTATTTTGCTCATGACACTATTAGCTACCTGGTCATTTTTGTATCTAAATTCATCAAGTAAAATATATGGTGAGTAACATTTAAATGTATTTATTGATGGTTGAAAATGGTTTAGTGAGTAAAAAAAGATGCGTGTAATGAAATGGCTTTACAGAGACATCATGCAATTTGCAGTTAGGTGTGCTTTTATTTCTGTGTGCTTTCTGGGATGAGATTTGACAGTGAATCTGTAATTAAATGCATATGGAAGCAAAGTTTGAATGGCAGAAGAGCTGTTTTGTTAGGCCTCTGTGGGTACTGTGCCCAGCCTACGTTCTCCTTGCACTCATCTGGAGAACCTGACTGGCCGCCTTTCTCCTCAGGACGAATTTACAGGCCACAGCTACTGAAGGAGGGCGATGTTGTTGATGGTGTGGCACCTCTCTGGCTTGGTCATTAATTCAAGCTTTGTGTGTCCCAGTTTCCATCCAGCTGAGTGGATAATGATGTGATCCTTGATTCAAGGAATACTTTATAAACTTTATATATACTGAGCCTTTAAACACATTGACTTCTTTATCCATTCGGGTGTCAAATGCTTACTTTGCAAAGTAGACACAAATGATTCATGACTTATGGAGCTATAAATCTTAAGGTATATAGAAAGGATTCATGACCTTGGAGGTCTCTTGCATTTTGGTTGTATCTCTTGGTTGAAGATACCTTGAAATCATTATTTCCTAATCCTGGAAGAATCTGTAGACTATAACTCAATCTTTGTGCTTTAGAGAATAATTTTCATTTTTTCATTTTTGCAAATGATTAAGAATTTGAGGGAGTTTCCCTGGTGACTCAGTAGTAAAGAATCTGCTTGCCAATGCAGGAGACAAGAGTTCAATCCCTGGGTTGGGAAGATCCCCTGGAGAAGGAAATGGTGACCTACTCCAGTATTCTTGCCTGGGAAATCCCATGGACAGAGGAGCCTGGTGGGCTATAGTCCATGAGGGGGTCACAGAAGAGTCAGGCACAACTTAGGGACTAAACAACAACAAAAGAATTTGAGGATTGACAACAATCCTACAAAGGGTCCAATATCATTAACAAAATAGTTGTTATCTACAAAGCAAGTATTCTTCCCACTATTAAAAATAATAATGGAACCTTCATAAATTTATTTCATCTAGAGATATGGAACTCTTTCATATAGACTTTTCATGTGCCAACCAATACATAAATGTGAATACATTATTTTTATATTGTACTATAAATTGGACTTATGAGATTTGCATACAACTTTACAGGTTCCCAGGTGGCACTGGTGGTAAAGAACCTGCCTGCCAGTGCAGGAGATGTAAGAGACACAGATTCAGTCCCTGGGTTGGGAAGATACTGTGGAGGAGGGCATGGCAGTCCACTCTGGTATTGTTCCCTAGAGAATCCCATGGACAGAGGAGCCTGGCAGGCTACCGTCCATGGGGTCACACAGAGTCGGACACAACTGAAGTGATGGCATGCATGCACGCATACAACTTTATTAATGTTTATTAATGTTGTATATTCTAATATTTTATTAATATTTATAATGTTATAAATATATTTCTACATTTTAAAAAATTACACTTTTATGAAGCTGAGTTTATCATTGTGGTCGGAGTTTAATTACTTCTAACTAACTTTTCGAAGGAGTTTTATTGGTTTTGTGTTCATGATATTGAAAATTGGGGGAAAATCAAAGAAAGGAAAAAAATAATGATCACATGTAAGCCCACCAGTGACAGACAAGCCAAATGAACAGTCTCCCAGATTTTTTACATATATGTATGTATTTTTAACAAAAATTTAATATTTTATGTATGATTTTATAGGATACCTTTAAAATTTTAATATCTAATATGTCAGTAAATTGGGAATAAGTATTTTTTAATGACTGCATAATAATATGGAATTTATTTCAGTAGTCCTGTATTTTGGGCACATAGTTTCTAATTTTTCCTTATAAACAATGCCATGCTGAACATCCATGTGTAACTCTTTGTATTTATCTAATTAGTTTCTTAGGATAATTTTGTAGAAATGGAAATGCTGAGTCAAAAGTATTTGCTCATTTATTAATCATTTTTGGTACATATTGTCAAATTGTTTGAGAAACGTTATGCCAATTTATACAACTGCTGATACTCTATTAGGGTGATCATTTCCCCACCACTAATAGATCATTAGCAATCTTTTGTCAATCTTAGATTGAAATCTCATTGTTTTAAATTAAATTCAATTGATTACCAATAAAGT